CATTCTGTTACCCTGTTTACTACAATGTAATGTAAAAGGTAATGCCATAGGATAAAAGTGAATAAGGAAAAAATAGATTCCATTTACTGGGTACCTGCTATGAGGCTGGCACTATATATACTTTATCTCATATAATCCTCACTGCCCTGTGAAAGAGTTATTATAATCTTCATTGTATAGATGAGAACACTGAGGCTCAAGAAAGTTAAGTGACTTGCTTCCTGCCAAATAGCTAGGGAGCTCAAGAGCAAGGACTCCAACTTACAGCTGTCTCCAAAGGCATAGGTTAATTCAGATGCAGGCTAAAGTTTGAGAACCACCACATTAAACCAAGTAAAACCTCATCATAAGAAGATACCTAATCACCTCATGGATTCAGGTTGCATTGATTTCCCTCAGGATCAGTCATATGCTGAGTATTTCACAGAACTCAGAGAAACAAAATCTGCTGGTTCTTTTTGTCCCCCAAAACCAGGACTGGATTAAAACTCAACTGTACCCTTAAATGGCACTAACACTATGATTTCTAGGCATACCTTAGTAATGAGGTAACCAAATTTTGTTTCTTAGAAGACTGTTGGTAAAGAAGCCCAAAGCACAAAGCTCTGCCTGCTCTTTAGTAATCTGCAATCTTCACAGACCCTTAGCTTAGAGTCTTCTTCAAATCCAAATGAAGATGCATCCTGCCTCACATACTCTGATGGATAAATCTGAAAATAACCCCATTTTACAAATAAGTCGTCTCTCTTCAAATTCATCATAATTCACTAACCAAGGAAAATATGACCTTGACATGCAGCCTGCAGTTACTTTTTAAAAGATGATCCATTTCTAAATGCTTTGTGAAAAGAGTGGTTTTTGCTTAAAAAGAAAAAACAGAGGAAGCTAGATCAACTTATTTGAATTAACTCTAGAAACAGAGTTAAATATTCCTCTTGAACCAGAAAGCCAACTTTAGTTCACCAAAGAAAGTTTGCATCATAGAAGATTGGTTTTACATTATGAACAGTGGGAAAAGGTATGATTTAGAAAGAGAACAGTTTCTATATTATTTTAAGAATGATCATTCAAAAACTACCATTAATAAAGCCTAATTCATATGTGAGATCACATAAAATATTGTTCTAGCATCCTAGGGGCAGAAAGGTAGATTACTTTATTTCCTCCCTCTTTGGATGTCCTGATGCTATTCTGTTAAGCATGGACTCACAGTAATTTTGAACTCTAGCATTAAGAAATTTCCTTTCTTCTGCACACTCAAGGTCTAGGTTCTTTCCTCACCCTCATATCATGATCAGTGTCTTCTCTTCTTTTCTATTTTATCCCAACAATTTTCACTTTCCCTTGCACCCCTCTCCATTTCCCTCTAGTGTTCACTTCCCCACCCAAATTCAACCACAAAATTATTTCTTTGGAATCTCAGACTGATTGGCCCTGGAAAACAGCTCTGTACTGCCTGTGGCTATTCTACTCCATCCCAAACTTAGCTCAGCTTAGAATCAATAAGCCATTGCAAGGGTCATCCAGACCAAATCCTGATTAGAACCTTTCCTCTGTGCCCCTGCTCCACCTTTCAATTCTGGCCTAAGGTTCTCTGCCCCTGTTCTTTTTCCTGTTTCACTATGGCATTTCCATCCCTTACCTCCTTATGTCTAGAATCCTTCCCCACTTGCAGACTGGAAAAACTAGTGCATTCCCACTTTTTCCTTCTTTCAAGGCCATTCTATTTAGGACAGTGAATCCCCTCCCTCATTCAGTATCTTTACTTTCGTCTAGATTTCCTAATGAATAGTTAGACTTACAAGCCCTGGATCCCAACTACCCTGCTTCCTGGGCCCTCCCAAGAGCAGTGGGTATCAAAGGTGAGTTTTTACATTGTCCAAGACCAGCTCCAGACATAAGTAAATGTCTTCCTCCTTTGGCCCTTTATTCCCTTTGCTTTCAAGTTGTACATTTTGTAATCTATACACTATCTCTAAGTTCTCTATTTCCTTATGGGTAAACACATTTATATTATTTCCTAAATGCTAGTTTCTCCCAATCCTACTTTTACCCAAGATCTTCTTTCTTACCCTAACCTTAGTGTTTCCAGCAGGAAGTGTAAAGAACTCTAAAGATTCCTCAAAGTTTTATTTGGAAAACACTATCATGGAGAATTCAAGGTGCCATTTTTTTCCTTCACTGACCCTAACACAAAACCAGCGATTGCCCTTCATTGCCCAACCAACCCTCTTCCTGACTTTTTTGTGTCCCTTCCTTCTAGTGTTAAAGTCCTCTCCTCCCGTGATTGTTTCTCTCAAAGAAGCCCCTCATTCAAGCCCATTATCCAGACTAATCATACCATGAGATCCTCTGCTACCCGTACTAATTGTTTTACACCCTTTACTGCCCAAGATCACCTAGGCAAGCGAAGAAAAAGATCTCTCTCTCTCTGTCTCTCTCTCTCTCTAGCTTTTCCTGGCAAATCAAAATAGCCAGACCCATGTTAGCACCCTTGGTACAGCCACCATTTCTTCTGGAACTCTCCACCACTCTGTCCAATCCAGATTCCAAGAGCAGAGTTTCCCCGGGCCTTAGTTTTCCTCTACCCTCTTGTAACAATCAGCCATTTTCCCTTCCTTATTGCTCTGTTCTAAAGAACTGGTCCTCCATAGCCCAGACACTGGCATCCCCTTCCCTTCCTTCCTCAGTGACATATGCAGTACTCAACTTCTGAAGCCAGAACAAAAAAAGAACCCTACCTACCCCTGTTGCAAAACTGATAATAGGTTCAATCTTTCAAAGTCACTTTTAGTAAGGCTCTGTGCACCAAGGCCCTTGACTCTCATCTCCAAAGTCCACCCCAAAGGCAGCTGCCTCAATTGCCCCATTAAGAGATGTCTGACTATCAATATCCTCCTGACTTACTCAAGATGGCCATGTCCCCCTAAACTCTATTTTCAACCTTCAGATAACTCTTAACCCTGCTCCTTCCAGTTCCTCCACAACTCTGCCAGTCTTTCCTACTAACTTTTGCTTCTCCATCAAAATTTTAACAGTTTCTCTTCTGTTTGTAGCCTCTGGGTGATTCTCAGAATTAGATTAAGATTATCCCATTTAATCTCCATGGAATCTTCCAAATTTCTTTTCTACACATTGACATCACCATTCAACTTCTGTCCCCTAAACTCTGTCCCAAACATCCTCCTTTGTGCAAACTACCATCTCCCCCATAATAAAGCTCCTAGGTAAGCAGAGAACTAGATGACCTTTAAAGTTTCCCTCCATTCTTGGAATTTTATTATCAACCTAATTCCTTTCCAACTCCAAATGCACTCACCAGTTATTTCCCTGTAAAACGTTTCAGCAGTGTGATTTTGAGAAACTGCCTCCTAATTTGAAAGGACCATGGGGCTGACCAATGTAACCTATAAGTGCACCCCCAAAAGTCTCACCAAAGCTTTTTGCATCTGTGCTCCACCTCTGTGTCACAGAGACAACCTCCAAATCGCCTTCCAAGTATTCAGCTGTAGCCCTGAAGTCTGGGACCCTTTCCCACACTTATGCAAAGAGCCCCTAAACCCTGGGCTAGATGGGTGCTCACCAAGACGCTGTCCTTACTAGCTACTGTAGGAAACACCAAGAAAGAATTAAGTATCACCACGTCAACAGTTTCAATCAGCCAACACTGAAAATTTCATAACAATAAAACAAAAACACAGTGTTTCTACTGGGGGAGGGGGAAGATGCGAAAAGAAAAGAGGGGCACCCCCACCGGCCTGTGGCCTCCAGGGTTTGCGGTTTGCTTCCCTCCCGCCTTTCCGCCTTTCCGCTTGACCACATCTTTGCCAACAACGATCTCCTGCACCTCCATAAAGCGAAATCCCCAGCCTTGGTGCGGACGGCTCCTCCCAGCCTTGCCCCGGACGTCCCTCTGGCCCAGCCTTCCTCTTGGCGGGACCCCAGCGAGGAGGGCCCCCTCCACCTTCCAGTTCACCTCCCTATCCCTTCTTGGGCCTCTGGGCGCCCCTGCAGGGCTCTGTCCCGAAGCTGAACCTCGAGGAGCCCAGCCCACGAGGCTCGTCGTGGGACCCAGCTCCCCCCCCCCCTTCTCCCAGCACCTCGTCCTCCAAGCACCCGGCCCCCGGGGCGCCTCGTCGTTGTAGTCCAGGCTCGTACCGCCCCCCCCGTCGGGGGCTCCCCACCCCCGCCTGCCCCCGCCCCCAGGACGGCCCCCTCCCCAAGGCGCGCCGCCTGCGCCCTCTGCCCCGGCACGGGACTCTCTTTGGCCTCCGTTCCCCGCCCAGAAGCGGCGGCGGCGGCGGCGGCGGCAACGGCGGCGGCGGCCCCAGCAAGAGCAGCAGCGGCGGCGGCAGCCGCGCCGCCTCGGCCCCGCCCCGCCGCCCGCCGGAGCCCCATGCCCCGCCCGCTCGCCCCGCCGCCGGACTGCTCCCCCCGAAACCCACCACTAAGGCCCCCCACTCCCCGGCCGCAATCCTCTCGAATCCAGCTCCGCTGGGCCTGCTGTCCGTTCCTCACGCCCCTTGGAACCTGCGGTGGGGGAGCCCCGGGGTTCGCGGTCATTCCCCTCCCTCCTTCTCCAAGAGCTGGGGGATTGCCCCCGATCCCGAAACCCAGCCCCGTAACCAGAGCCTCCCTCTTTCCAGCCTTTGGCTTTGCTCTCAGACCCCTAGCCTCCAGGCCTGGCGCGAAGCGGGTGGAGGGTTTGCACGCCGGATCTCCCCCCTGGCTTACTGGGGCTAGTATGAATTGCCCCCACCTCGTTCTCCTTCAATTTAAGTCCCCTCCCTGCCGCGGCTGGCCCGGCTGCCCCCGCCCCTAGAGCGAGGGCAGCAGAGCCAGGGCGCTCAGAAGTCATCCCCCGCCTTTTTTCCAGGGACTCGGATAATTGCCCCTGCCCCCATCACAGCACTCCCACTCCCGAACCCAGGCCCCGCCGCCACCTAGGGGTACCCCTTACCCCACCGTTCCCACACCCCAGCACCGGGGAGAAAGCAGACCTGAAAGAGCAGCCGTCGCAGCTCTCTCTGAGGTTGGAGGGTATTTTCTCCTGGTCTCTTCAAGACTTCATCACGGACACCCCCCACCAAAAAAAAGAAAACAAGCCTTTTCTCGCCCTGCCCTGCCGGCCAGGCTCCCTTCGGATCGTCGGATCCCTGTATCCGGGGTTGAGGCCAGGTAGTTAACAAGACCGTAGTGTCCACCTCCCTTTCGGAGGAGTGGGGTAATTCCTATGGTTTCCCCCCCAGGATCTACCGACCCCTGTTTCCATGGAGACCCCCGCCCAGCCAGGAAGAAGACTCTCCGGGATCGTGGTGAACTAGTCTCACCTGGCTAAGACAGAAGGGGGTCGAGGAGGGGGTAGGGCAGGGCAGGGATGGGGTGCGAAGGTGGGAAGTGGAGGGGAGCTGTCCCGAAGGGAGGGGCGAGGACAGAGCGAGCTCTATGGAGCGCTACGTCCGGGGACACGAAGAGGACGGTGCCCCCGGGGGGCAAGCAGAGCGGCCGCGGGGCGAAGAAGCGACAGGGTTGAGGAAAGGCTTAAGATAGAAAAAAGCGGGTGGGGGAATACAAAAAAGCCGGGGAGTCAAAGGGGTGGAGGGATTGGGGGAGAGAAAAAAAAGACGCACCTGTTCCCGGGTCGGCTCCGCGGGGAGGCTCGGGCCGCCACCCGGGCTCCCTCTTACTCCCTAGGAACCGTCACCCTCCTAATACTGCCCCGATCTGATGCCTCCCTCCGCCCCTTATCGCCACCGACCTCCTTCTCCTCTTTCCCGGCGGCAGCGGTCGGACTCTAGGAACTGAGAGGAAGAAGGGAGGGCTCAGCAAAGCGGAGGAGAGACAGAGCCACACACTGGCAGCAGCCGCGGCGAGCGAAAGAGTGAGGGGGAGAGCGATGTGTGTGTGTGTCGGTGTGAGCAAACGAAGCCTGGTGGAGTGGGTGCCGGTCGCAGGGCTCGACGGGAAGTGGAGTCTAGCCCGGTTTGCGGGCGGCGTCAGCCCTCGCACCACCCAACTACAATTCCCAGAATGCCACCTACGCGGGGGGGCATGGGGAGGAGGAGGAGAAGGGAGGGAGCAAGCAAGAGAGGGAGGGACGAAAGCAGGGAGCAAGCGGCGGCGAAGGGGGCAGAGCCAAGCAGCCCCGGTGACACTGGGAGGGGAGGGGAGGGGAGGAGGAGGGGATCGCTGCGAGAACCGAGCGGATTCCGGAGAGGCAGGCAGTGGTGGCTGCAGCAAGCCGGGCAAAAAGCTACACTCCCGGGAGAGGCGGAGGCATTCAATCCGTGGGGCTGCAAGAGCCCTACGACCCCCACCCCCGACGCCCCTCAAGGGGGAGGTTGAAAAAGGGAGCTCCTCTGTGCGCGGCGGCCAGGGGTTTAGCTCTTCCTTTCTTCCTCTGCTCTCTACCTTGTGCCCAGACCTGACTTTCTCAGGCCAGTGGTGCCCGATCTAGTGTGCAAATCCCGAGACCCCCACATCTCCCCGGCCAGGCATTCCGTCCCCCTCAGTTCCCTTCTCCCAGGGGCCTGAGGGAGGCTCCCCTTGCTAGCTAGCAGGGTGTGACTCTCCCTTTCTTCCCG